CAACCAACTTCTGAGACTAAGCTTTGAAGGTAGAAAAACATCCCATGCAGATTTCTTTGAAAAACTGAAAGCAAGTCTCCTGAAAAGAATAGAAACTGGAATAAAGGCAAGCAGTGGAGACACTAAATACTGAAAAATGTGTGTGTGTGTGTGTATATATATATATATATATATGTATATATATATATATATATATATATGTGTATATATATATATATATATATATATATATATATATATATATATATATATATATACACACACATAGGGTGTTTCCTGCCTTCCTCCCATTGACCGCTGGGATAGGCTACAGCACCCCCTGCAACCCAGAAGGATAAGTGGCTTAAATAATGTGGGTGTGTGTTATATTTAGTTGTTCAGGCTTCTCTGTAAACACATAACATTAATTATATGCTTTGTGCTGTAAAAAAAAACTCATTTTGACTAGAAATGAAATGAATGAAGAGTGGTCTCTGGCATTTGCACAGTACTCTATATAGTACCTAGTAATATAACGGCAATATGTCATTTTGTCCATGTTGTGTAGGCCTAGTATGAATTTAATGTAGTTTCAAAACATACCATTCACTCCCAGGTTCCTATGACTCACATATGTAAAATAAGCTGCAAAAGCAGCCCATGTTCAAATTGTTTTTGTGATGTCACAAAAACCAACACAATTATATAAATCTGCCTATTCAGTTAGTTCCATCCGTTCATTCTGAAGTTGTAAGGAGTGTTTCAGCTCCGACTGTTGTTTGAATGAAGTGTAATACAGGGCAGCCAAAACAGAGATCATTTAAAATGACCATATAAAAGCAATTTGCACTGTTAAAACCTTATTCTCTGTTCATCTTGCTCTTGTTATTGTTTGCTGTCCAGTGTCGGAGGACGGGTTCCACTTTGAGTCTGGGTTCCTCTCAAGGTTTCTTCCTCTTGCTCTTAGGGAGTTTTTCCTCGCCACTGTCTCCATTGGCAACGCTCATGGGGGCTTGGACCCGGATTTTTATGCACAGCAGCTTTGCGACAACACCTGTTGTAAAAAGCGCTAAATAAATAACCTTCGACTTGACTTGGCATATTCTTCTTCTTCTTCTTCTTATTATTATTATTATTATCATTATTATTACTATTATTATTATTATTATTATTAAGTGCCATCAAGTCGATTCCAAACCATACAAAGCTATGGAGAGTGTTTCAGTATATCTGGTCTTCTGTTTGGGTCTGCAGGCTTATTTTAATAGCTTACTCCTGTGAATCCTGTGATTGTCTCCATCCGTCATGTTGCTGGACATCCGCTTCTTCTTTTACCCTCAGCTGTTCCAGGCATAACTGTCTTTTCCAATGAACTTATTCTTCTCACAATATGTTGAAAAGTTTGGATGTCTGGGCATTGAGTGATAGGTGAGGCTTGATTTGATGAATGATCCATTTGTTTGTTTTCTTTCCAATGTTCTCTTAAGTCTTTGCCAAACCAGTTCAAATGCATCAATATTTGTCCATTCACTCTTTTTTACTGTCCAATTTTCACATCCATAAAGAAACACAGAAATGACCACAGCCTGTACAATTCTGAAATTTGTTTGTAAAGACAAATCATTACATTTGAAAACCTTTCATTCATCGTTGTTCTGGGGATGTTAATATTTGTTGTATTTCTTGACTTTGTTGTTAATAATGGATCCAAGGACAGTACTGTCCAAGAGTCAAGAACAGCCCTTCATTTATGTAATTTACAGTCAAAATGGCCATTAAGTACATTTTTTACAAGAAAATTAGATATAAAACAATCCACTTGCATGAGGAACGGAAAGGTGATATAAGTGATCATTGTTTGGGATAACTTGGACCATGAGATGCGAAAACCGCAGCCAACTTCTAAGACAGAAACCTGGAGTTGTGGAAAGACTGCAGACTTCTTTGGAAGGCTGAAAGTAAGACTCCATAAAAGAATGGAGGCTTTAATAAAGGTAAAAGTAGGCACTCTGTATGATGTTTAGTTGTTGAGGCTTCAGTGTAAGTTTCTGTTAAGTACATGTTTTCTGCTTTTTTCCTGAAAAATAAACAAAATGATAGCCATTTGACTGGAACTTACGTAAATGAGCGGTAGTCTCTGACTTTTTGTGCTTTAGATGTCCAAAAAGCTGTCCATTATTTTTACATTTATACGATATATTAGAAACTTCGAGGCCTTTCCTGTTGTCATGACCTTTTTTTCGAGCTCCCATCTTTTCATTCTGTTTCTTAACTTTCCTTATAAGGGCCCTCAGGTCTTCCTGAATTTCCGGTTTGAGTGTCATTTCATCCAAAGGTTATTGAAGTTTCTTCCACTTAAATCCTTGATCATCTACCTCCAGTACTGCTTCTCTTATTACATGTTCTGCATACAAGTTGAACAGGTATGGTGACAGTAGCAGCCCTGCCTGACTCCTTCATAAGTGGACTTCTGGGGCCAGATTCACAAAAGCTTTCTTAAGAAAAAACTTGTGAAGATTCTTAAGACTAATACTAAGAAGTTCATAAGAATGTTCTTAAATGGAATTGTTGAAAAAAACTTAGGAAGTTCTCAAATATCCTTATCCTATAAGATAATCTTAATTATTTTCTTAAGATTTTCTTAAGAACATTGTTTTCTTATGTAGGCAATGTTGCATTTTACCCTGTACCATGAACAACATGAGACCGTTTAAATATGTATTAACTGTTATTTCTGTTATTTAGTTTAATCTGTTTAGAGAAGCAAAAAGGAGGAAAAACATCAAACCAAGCATTTAAAAAAAATGGCAAACAAGAAGTGGAGATTGAGGTGGAAGAAATAGCCAGCAGGAAAAATCCTCATTGGAAAATATGATAATCTGGGGTGACAGACGAGGATGGGCAGTAGGAGCAGCACAGGCAGTGTCAGTAATAAATTTAGATGCCTGCCTTGTCAACTCTTACAGCCTAAGTCAAGTGTGAGGCTATCATACACTCTCAGAAATAAAGGTACTAAACTGTCACTGGGGCAGTGCCCCTCTTATCAGTGGAGTGGGACCCTTAAGGGTACATCTCAGTACTTTAGTCAGGGAACATAACTGTACTATAATCCTTTGACATTATATCTTCTAAGTTGTATTAACTCCACACACCCCGTCTCGTCTCCAGGCTTTTTATTTTATTGTTCTGTTTTAAAACATTTGGTTATGAAAAGATACAAATATGTACTTTTCACCCGGAAAAACACTTATTTAAGGTACACAATTGAACCTTAAAACCACTGTTGTACATTTAAGAGAACATTTACATTGTTTGTGCCTTGATGAACGAAAACTGTACCTGTTGTTTTTTCTTAAATGTGTTCTTAAGAAAGGTCCTAAGAAAAAGTCTACGTCATATTCATTGTGTGGTTTTAAACCACAGAATTGTTCTCACTTTTGTGCTCTTAAGTGTGTGTAGATTCTGTCCAAATAAGAAAACCTTGGTGAATGTCTTCATGAAAACTGCGTAAGTGGGTTTTACGAAGAAATTACTTCTTAAGAACAGTTAGTGAATGAGGCCGTAAAGAATACCACTTGTTCTTAGAATTATTCTTAAGAAAACACACACGCACACGCACACGCACACGCACACGCACACGCACACACACACACACACACACACACACATCATTCAAACCTGTTATCCTTCTGGGTCATGGTGGAGTGCTGGAGCCTATCCCAGTTATCATTGGGCGGAGGGCAGGATACAACCTGGACAGGCCGCCAGTCCTCTTAAGAAAATAGTTAAGAAAAAAGAAAAGAAGAATTCTTAAGAAGTAATTTGAATAATAACTATTTTTTTTCCTAAGAATGAAGTTAAGAAAAAGACACACATTTAAGAAGATTTTCTTTCTTGAGACACTTTCGTGAATCCGGCCCTAGGAGAAAAAAAAATACTTCAAAAATGCTGTAGGATAATGGACGCTTTAAGTAAAGAGAATATTCTCAGCTCGAGTAATTGGACTGAGCGACAGTGAACTCAAAGTCAGCTAAGTGTCAGTAATAGCGCGGGATGGCATTGTCACGGCAGGTCCCGAGCTTTATTCTGAAGACTGCACCGTGCAATTGAGACCTGCCACCATGACATCTGATGGCCCATCTCCCAGTTTAATTCGGCAGGGTCATAATTGAAACTGCTCCTTTGCAATTAAGAGCTTATAAAAAAAAAGCACGCTGAGCAACTCTGGCTCTAATGAATATACAGCTGTCTGGCATGATTATATGAGCACAGAAAGATAATTAATCTTGCTTGCTCTCTCACTGTCTATTATTCCACCCTCGTGTGTTAGCAGACCACTTCCATTTATCAGTCTCGGCATGAAGAACATGATACAGCGCTAAGATAACATGGACAGAGATGCATTAAGTCATTCCGTCACATGCCATAAAGAGATGCCTAGCCTTTATCATACTAAATTAAGGTAGATTTCAATTGGCCTGAATGAGCGTTGGATCAAGGATGACAGTTATAAGGCTTTCATATTATCCAAACATATGACAACACTGTTTTTACATGCACTATGAATATTTCATTTAATGTGATTACATTTAACAGCGTTAGCATGTCATTTTCTATTACAATGAAAGAGACATAATTGTAGCAATTTACATAAAAATATCATTATTATTATTTTTAGCTTTCTTTTTTTTTTTTGCACTGCCCATTGACATTGGACTTTTGTGCATTTGATGTAATTAGATTGCATTAGCCTGTCCAAACAATTTGTACCTTTTTTCCCATGGCAGCCACCATTAAGAAAAAAGAAAAACAGAAAAAAGAAAGAGAATTCACAAAGAATCCTCTCCCTTTGAGCTTAATGTTAGCTAAGTCATTACTTTAATTACTCCACCTCTTTCACTGGCTCTCTTTTGTAGGAGTATTTAAAAATTGCATAAAGCAGATCACACAAAGCTGAAAATGCACTGGTGAAGTTTTATTTGACATTACATTTGTAGTGCTTTCTTTTTTCTGTCTTCCAGATCAGGAGAGGATTGGGAAAGACTCGTCATACGAGCAGGAGGGCAAAGTGATGTTCGTGATCGATGCGGTTTACGCCATGGCTCATGCACTCCATAACATGCACAGTGACCTGTGTCCTGGAAAGGTCGGGCTTTGCTCCAAAATGGACCCTATTGATGGAAGTCTCCTGTTAAAGTACATCCGCGATGTCAAGATCACAGGTGCAGTACAGCTTAGTCACGCTATGAAACACATTTTGTCCTTCAGCCTAAAATTAGACACTGAAAAATGTGAAGACTGAAAAAGCTGCACTGGATTCACGTGATTCTAATGTGCCTGCTATTCCAACATAAATAATATTTATTAGGCCTGCCATTATTTTATGTGATTAATAACAGTTAATTGCAGTTGTCTAATTTGCCCAAATTTGACCATAGTGGTTTTTCCATTTAAAAAGGAGTGCATTCATATAGCTGTATGAGTGGACAAAATAATCAGGATGTGTGTATTTCTTTGTGTGAACGCAGATTTTACATGAACCTGAACATGAAAATCATGATTTCCATAGCCTGAATGCAGTTTCCAGTTTTCATCAACAACATCTAGTGAGAGCAAAAGTGTCTGCATGTTCCAACTAATTACTGCATAACACCGATCAGGCCTGACATTATGACCACCTCCTTGTTTTTATGCTCATTGTCCATTTTATCAGCTCCTCTTACTATATAGGTGCACTTTGTAGTTCTACAGTTACAGACTGTAGTCCATCTGTCTCTCTGCATACTTTGTTAGCCCCCTTTTACCCTGTTCTTCAGTGGTCAGGACCCCCATGGACCCTCACAGAGCAGGTACTATTTGGGTGGTGAATCATTCTCAGCACTGCAGTAACACTGATGTGGTGGTGGTGGTGTGTTAGTGTGTGTTGTGCCAACACAGTTTGTGTTGGTCATCCTCTAATCCTTCATCAGTGGTCACAGCACACTGCCCACAGGACGCTGTTGGCTGGATATTTTTGGTTGGTGGACTGTTCTCAGACCAGCAGTGACACTGAGGTGTTTAAAAACTCCAGCAGCACTGATTTATCTGATCCACTCAGACCAGCGCAACACACAATAACACACCACCACCACATCAGTGTTACTGCAGTGCTGAGAATGATCCACCACCCAAATAGTACCTGCTCTGTGAGGGTCCATGGGGGTTGTGACCACTGAAGAACAGGGTAAAAGGGGGCTAACAAAGTATGCAGAGAAACAGATGGACTACAGTCTGTAATTGTAGAACTACAAAGTGCACCTATATAGTAAGTGGAGCTGATAAAATGGACAATGAGCATAGAAACAAGGAGGTGGTCATAATGTTATGCCTGATCGGTGTATATCATATTGTATTGTCACTGTCCAAAAAAACAAGTATCTCTGTTTTTTTCTATTTTATTTTTTCTACATCATTTAAGTACAGCATCTGACCTTTGCATTGTGTGAAAATTTCATGAGGAATGGACCAATAGAAATACTTCAAACTTGCTTGGAATAAAATCTCTTTACATGAACTTACTTTTGCTTTCACCTCTAAAGTTAGCATTTAGGAGATACAGCAACACTATATGAGATATATAATATTTAATAAAAGGTTTCAGGTCCTCCATTATTGTAGCTTCTTGCTCTCATTCATACAGCGCATCGATTCTTATTACAGTGGAGGCTCCTGGTGAGAACTGATGTTTTTCACATTGTTATTACTTTACATACTTTTATTGCCTTCTGCTCATTGATTTATCTATAGGTCTCCCATGAGCACTGTCCAGCACAGTATGTCCAGTAAAGGCATTTAAAAACTGTATTTGAACTGCAATCACAGATTGTATCACAGCAACTTACAGTGCGCTGCAGCTGGGCTTCAGCCTGCAATACTAGTGATGTTTCAAAGGGCCAAACTAAGATGTGTAAACAGCATAAAAAATGAGGTGGTGTCAAAAAAGTGTTAAAGCATAATTAACTTTGACAGCCCTACATATTAGATATTATACATTTCATCAGCACAGTTTTGTTGTTAAATTTACTTCGTTTAATAATTGTAATGACGTAATATATTTTATTCCTGCAGAAATTAGATGCACATTTGAATTTACACATTGAAGTTAATTCAGTGCACTACTTTTTTCTCAGTCCACTTTATTTGTTACAAAAGGCAGTTCAACTGTTGAGTTTTATTCATGAAAACTTTATATATAAAATTTAAAGGAGGGGTAGTTGGTAAATTGTTTGCCTTATGGCAACAATGTGTAATCATGGAATGTACCTTAAATCTAATTTTTTCTCTAAACATCCTTTTTTGAAAACAAGACTAAACAAATCTAACTTATGCGTAGTGAGATGTATAACCCAATATTTACACAGTTAATTTAATATCATTTCAGTTGTTATTTGGAATGTATGACAATAATGACATCATAGTAAGATACACACACCTGGCATGGGGACGTCATTTTCTTGATGAAAAGCAAAGTTATTTCCTATTTAATTTCATTTAATTTCATTTAATCATTCTTATTCAATATCATTCATTTAATTTAGTATCATCAACATATTTTTTTTTAATAGCAATGTGCACAAATCTGGACCTACATATAATTTATATAAACATATAATTTGTATGGGGTATCGCAATTCCTTCTGTTAAAACTATGATTTCCAGTGATGTCATTTATAATACAGATAATACGTTACAGTTTAAAAAATGTTTGAAATTACAATATATATTTTGTTCCCTTTTTAATGTAATCAAAAGTTGTAAACACAGTCTCAAAGTAGCCTAGTGCTACATAAGTCAATTACAGTCCAATGGGCTGAGTGCACACGGATTACTTCCACATTCGCATATAGTTGCCATATGGCAACAAATTCATTTTACCATTTTATGAAAACCTTATCAGATTTAAACTGGTTTTATGATGAAAACTGAGTTACCTGACCCCAAATAGTCATTCTTTCCATTTTTTTATTTGAAGGAATTTTTCCTAAATATTGAACAGTCAGTCACCTTTGGGAACCCTCAGGTCATGATCTTCTCAGTGTCGAGTGTCCATGGAAAATGCGAGTGCAAACAGGATTTTATGGTCATATAATGTCCTCAATTATTTGTCCTTTAAAAAACGAATCAACCATTTTTCCACAATTAATCAGTAAAACCTGGATTTCATATTATTGCCTAATCTAAAAATAAAGTAAAATTAAAGATAAAGTAATCGTTGCCATATGGCAACACCATGCAGTAAAGGGTTATGTCAGATAAATTCTTTCAGTAAAACAAAACAAAGCTAAATAGCAGTTCAGATGGACAAAAGCAATGCTCTTTAACAGTCCAGTTCTTATAAAGAATTTTTTTACAGTACATGTTGGATTAAGCATGTGAGTTCCACCCCTTGCTAAAGAAATTAAAACATTTTACACTTATGCGCTTGTGGGACATTTGTAAAGACAGCTCCAAAAACCCTTGTTTTTCATCCTCCCACCCTGACTGTAAATTGTCAACTGAAGGCTGAAGGAACAAATAAAGGGTATTACGAAGATTAGCTGCAGCAATGGATTCAAACTGAGAAAAGCTACAAAATCCCCCAAGGACAACAGACGGCTTCTCCAGAAAGCGCTTGATATGTGCTTTGCATGCCTAAACTGTCACTAGGTTGCTTGCGAGTCATTTCCATTTCACTTAAGGCAATTACAACACATTTCGTCTTCTTCATCCTGACTTATCAATGGCAGCAAAAAGAGGCAGCACTTAAATAGTGCCTGCTCAGAAGATAACAGCGTGACCTATCAAATAGTGAGTGCTATAGGGAAGGTGAACTATCCATATTTTATTTAGATAAGAGCTATTTGCTGCACGCTGTTTGTGACAAGGTTATCTGAAAGGGTCCTGTAATACCGCCTTCAATTTTAGCTGGATAGAGTCAGGATTTGCTGTAAGGCGAATAACAGTGACATTACACCGCCATCTATACCAAACGACCACAGGTTACTCCTAATCTCTTGCTCTTGCATCAGCAGACATCAGTATGGTGAACGCAGTCACGTGATCTGCAGCCCGAGCGCTCTGCAAATGCCCACCGGTGTTTCTGGCAGAAAACATTAGCACATTTTTTTTTGCTTAGCACCGTACATTGATTTGATTTTTATTTATTGTTTATGAATGACATCTTTTGGGGTGTCCAGTGCGTGGGTTTCTTGTTGTTTTGGAGTGTGTGTGTGTGAGAGAGGGCAAGAGAGAGAGAGAGATTACAAGACAACAAGCATAATGCTGACCTCCATAATGCTTATCACACATCCAGTGAATGTGAAAACAGAGTGTAGGAGTGGGAGAGAGAGAAGGAAAGATGGGGAGACAGGGGAAAAAAGGAGAGAGAGAGGAAGAGAAAGAGAGCAAAAAAATAGAGAAAGAGAAAGAAAGAAAGAGAGAGAGAGAGAGAGAAAATACCACCATACACTGAGTTTTTTTGTTATTGTTTATGTTCATTTATAATAAGAAAGATAGATAGATAGATAGATAGATAGATAGATAGATAGATAGATAGTAAAAAAGAATAAACAGGGAGGAGAAAGAAAGAAAGAAAGAAGGAGAGAGAGTGCATTGACAGTGAGAGAGAGAGAGAGAGACTATTCAGGACAACAATAATAACAATAATAATACCATCATACATGGAGTTGTTTTGTTATTATACATGAACTTGAAAAAGAAAGAAAGAAAGAAAGAAGAGTGAGAGAAAAAAGAGAGGCAGAGAAAGATAAAACAAATAGGAAAAAGAAAGAGAGGGAAAGGAAGAGAAAAAAAGAATAGGAAAAAGAAAGAGAGAGGAAGAGAAAAAAGAATAGGAAAAAGAAAGAGAAAGAATGTGACAGAAGGAAAGAGAGAGAACTGGAGAAAGCAGGAAACAACAAGAGTAAGAAAGTGAGAGAGAAAAAGGGAGTGAGAGAAAAAAGACTGACAGAGACAGAGAAAGAACGATCGAGGGAGAAAGGAGAGGGAAGGAGAAGGCAGGAGAAAAAAGTGAGAGAGAGAGAGAGCGAGAGAGAGAGAGACTGACAGAAAGACAGAGAGAGAACACAAGAGAACAACAAAATGAGAACAATACGAAACAAATTTGCCCACCAAGAAAAGTGCCATCCTGGAGCTCAGAGTTCATACCCAGTACACTCTGCCTCCTCCTCCTCCTCCTCTAGCT